TTTTTACTACTCATATATATCTAGCGCGATGACATTTTATGGCTATTTCAATCCTGTAAAAGCGTTTTTAAATCCGTTCAGTTGTTTCGGAGTTATCCATTAGAATGCAAATGTCGGTAATTTCCGACCTTTTGGCATCCTCCCGACATATTACAGTTTAGTAAATTTCTCCGAATTGACTGAACGGAATTGAAAATCCTTTCCAGGATTGAAGACATGAAATTGTGGTGTGAGACGGATGAATTTGTAGTAAAATCAGAAAAAATTAAAAAACAGTTATTACCTGACTTTAAACATTTATATTAGTGTAAAAGTTTTGTAGCTCACATATACAAAATGCTTATGTCTCACACCATAAATTACATGAACGAATAATATAAAGCCTTTTGAGCTACGATTGAAAGCGTAGAAAAAAAGTTATTCACTAAACTGTAATTTATGGTAATTCGTATGTTTAGCTAAAATACAGAATGGTAAAGACAGCACAAATTGCGTCTAGCAGTATATAAGTATCGGATTTTGCAAGAGATGGCATTTCAATAAGTTGAATAAGGATAATGCACGTGTTTGAGCAAGACAGGATATTGTAAGAACTAAGAAGTTCATTTAGATATATCATTAACATTGAAGAATCTGTTTTATCAACCTCGTGCAAATTTTTCCGACCTTTCAGCATTCTCTTAAAGCGCTGTGAGGCGTTTAAAAGCACTGCTGTGCTGCGTTGGAAATATCTCGCAAAACAGTGATTATTCGATAACTTACCTTTAATACTTTTATATGCAGAATAACTAGAGAAATTATATTATGTGAAAAAAATTATATCATTCCGTTTAAAAAAGTCGAGGTAACCTCTCCCACACGGAACAAAACCTCCATTAGACGCTCATACAGCCTTCATAGCTATTCATACGATATCTATCTCCACGATGGAAGTTAGATAGATCTCCAAGAAAAATCTATACTATATCTATGATAGATAGTCTCTACATATCTATCGACGTCCATTAGACGTATGTACATCTTTTATCTCTATTATGGATAAAAAACCTGATATATAATACAACATCGCCGATAGAAGCCGCAGCATTATAAAATATTTTTCATTAACGAAATGATTCCTTAAAGAAGGTCCTCAAAATTGATTTCTAAGATGAAACTAAATGAGATGTTCTTTTGATAGTTTTATTGAGTTTTGTGTAAAAATAAATTCAGGAATTTGATATGTTTTTGTTAAATGTACATAGTTATTTGTATTTTTTTATGCTGCTGGAAATCCATAAAATCATCCAGCGAAGTTTTATCTAGGATTTATGAATATGGACATATAATAAAGGTCGAATAGAAGTACGAAATGCGGAACTGTGGACGTTTAATAAATCTATATTAATTATCTATAAGAAGTTACGTGAATGTCTAATAGAGGTTTTGAATATCTATGAAGAACGTCTAATGGATGTCTAATAGAAGTTTTTATTCTGCATGGGCTATGTGCACTTCGAAAAATCAATTTTTTGAGAAAAATATATTGGAAACAAAAAATGCATAATTTCAAAAACTAACTGTTATTGTATAATAATCGGTGCAAGTTTTTGATTGAGATTAATCTGATTTTAAAATCTAAATCTTTAAGATTCAAGATTCGAAATCTAGAAATCTTTTACGAAAATATCTCTGTGGGACATTTATATTTTACAGTTTTTAGTCTCATATGTGTACGCATGCACACACACGCACGCGCGCGCGCGCGCACACACACACACACACACACACACACACACACACACACACACACACACACACACACACACACACACACACACACACACACACACAAAGTTAGTTTGCTTTTAAGTACACACTTTTCACAATGCTTAAAGGTGCCATTTCATGCGTAGCGTGCAATCGCAGTAATTCGTTACTATTGGTTTAAAATTTTACTTAGATGACGCACTTCCGACGCAAAATACGTTTAGTTGCATCTTGTTGAAGTTCAAC